CTCTCCACTTCACTCTCCCACACTAGTGATAGTGTGTGAGATAGTGTGGAGATAGTGGGGAGAGATAGTGGAGAGATAGTGTGGGAGAGTGGAAAGGGTGGAGAGATAGTGTGGGAGATAGTGTGAGACTGGAGAGATAGTGTGCGAGATAGTGTGGGAGAGTGGAGAGATAGTGGAGAGATAGTGTGTGAGATAGTGTGATAGAGATAGTGTGGAGATAGTGTGGAGAGATAGTGTGGGAGTGTGGGAGAGATAGTGGAGAGATAGAGTGATAGTGTGAGATAGTGTGGAGAGATAGTGTGGGAGAGATAGTGTGGGAGAGTGGAGAGATATTGGAGAGATAGTGTGTGTGATGGTGTGGGAGAGTGGAGAGATAGTGTGGGACAGTTAAGAGATAGTGGAGAGATAGTGTGGGATAGTGGAGAGATAGTGTGGGACAGTGATAATAGACAGATAGTGTGGGAGATAGTGTGAGATAGTGTGGGAGAGATAGTGGAAAGATAGTGTGGAGACATAGTGTGTGAGAGTGTGGATAGTGGAGAGATAGTGTGGGAGATAGTGTGGGATAGTGGAGAGATGGTGTGGATAGTGTGAGAGATAGTGTGGGATAGTGTGATAGTGTGGGTGTGTGGAGATAGTGTGGGATAGTGGAGAGATAGTGGAGAGATAGTGTGGGAGAGTGTGGGATAGTGTGATAGTGGAGAGATAGTGTGAGGGATTGTGTGTGAGATAGTGTGTGTACTATCTCTCCAGTATCTCTCCACTATCTCACACTATCTCTCCATTCTCCACTATCCCACACTATCTCTCCACTCTCCCACACTATCTCTCCACACCATCTCTACTCTCCCACACTATCTCTCCCATTCTATCTCTCCACTCTCCCACACTATCTCTCCACCATCCCACACTATCTCTTCACTCTCCCACACTATCCCACACTATCACTCCACTCTCCCACACTATCTCACACTATCTCTCCACTATCTCTCCCACACTATCTCTCCACTCTCCTACACTATCTCTCCACTCTCCCACACTATTTCTCCACTCTCCCACACTGTCTCTCCACTATCATACACAATCTCTCCACTATCTCTCCCACACTATCTCTCCACTATCTCTCTCCACACTATCTCTCCACTATCTCTCAACTATCTCTCCACTATCCAACACTATCTCTCCACTCTCCCACACTATCTCTCCCACACTCCCACACTATCCCACACTATCTCTCCCTCACTATCTCACACTATCTCACACACTATCTCTCCACTCTCCCACACTATCTCTCCACTCTCCCACACTATCTCTCCACTATCTCTCCCACACTATCTCTCCACTATCTCTCCCCTCTCCCACACTATCTCTCCACTCTCTCCACTATGTCTGCACTCTCCTACACTATTTCTCCACTATCTCTCCACTCTCCCACACTCTTCCACACTATCTTTCCACTCTCCCACACTATCTCTCCACTATCCCACACTCTCTCCACTATCTCTCCACTATCCCACACCATTTCCCCACTCTCCCACACTATCTCTCCACTCTCTCACACTATCTTTCCCACACTATTTCTCCTCTCTCCTACACAATCTCTCCACAATCCCACATTATCTCTCCACTATCTCTCCACTATCTCTCCACTATCTCTCCACACTCCCACACTATCTCTCCACTATCTCTCCACTCTCCCACACTATCTCTCCACTCTCCCCACTATCCCACACTATCTCTCCACTATCTCTCCACTCTCCCACACTATCTCTCCACTATCTCTCCACTATCTCTCCACTATCTCTCCACTCTCCCACACTATTACACTATCTCCCACAATATCTCTCCACTCTCTCACACTATCTCTCCACTATCACACACAATCTCTCCACTCTCCCACACTATCTCTTCCACACTATCTCTCTACACTCCCACACTATCTCTCCACTATCTCACACTATCCCACACTATCTCTCCACTCTCTCACACTATCCCACACTATCTCTCCACTTTCTCCACACTCTCCCACACTATCTCTCCACACTATCTCCACTATCCCACACTATTTCCCACACTCTCTCTCCACTATCCCACACTATCTCTCCCACACTATCTCTCCACACTATCACACACTATCTCTCCCAACTATCTCTCCACTATCTCTCCCACACTATCTCTCTACTATCTCACACTATCTCTCCACTATCCCACACTATCTCTCCACTCTCCCACACTATCTCTCCACTCTCCCACACTATCTCTCCACTCTCCCACACTATCTCTCCACTCTCTCACACTATCTCTCCACTATCACACACTATCTCTCCACTCTCCCACACTATCTCTTCCACACTTTCTCTCTACACTCCCACACTATCTCTCCACTATCCCACACTATCCCACACTATCTCTCCACTCTCTCACACTATCCCACACTATCTCTCCACTATCTCCACACTATCCCACACTATCTCTCCACACTATCTCCACTATCCCACACTATTTCCCACACTCTCTCTCCACTATCCCACACTATCTCTCTTACACTATCTCTCCACACTATCACACACTATCTCTCCCAACTATCTCTCCTCTATCTCTCCCACACTATCTCTCTACTATCTCACACTATCTCTCCACTCTCCCACACTATCTCTCCACTCTCCCACACTATCTCTCCATTCTCCCACACTATCTCTCCACTCTCCCACACTATCTCTCCACTCTCCCACACTATCTCTCCACTCTCCTCCACTATCTCTCCACTATCCCACACTATCTCTCCACTCTTCCACACTATCTTTCCACTATCCCACACTATCTTTCCACTCTCCCACACTATCTCTCCACTCTCCAACACTATCTCTCCACACTCCCACACTATCTCTCCACTATCCCACACTATCTCTCCACTCTCACACTCTATCTCCCACACTATCTTTCCACTCTCCCACACTATCTTCCCACTCTCCCACACTATCTCTCCACTATCCCACACTATCTCTCCACTCTCCCACACTATCTCTCCCACACAATCTCTCCACTCTTCACACTATCTCTCCACTCTCCCACACTATCTCTCCACTCCCCCACACTATCTCTCCACTATCTCTCCACACTCCCGCACTATCTCTCCACTCTCCCACACTATCTCTCCACTATCCCACACTATCTCTCCACTATCTCTCCACTATCTTTCCACTCTCCCACACTATCTCTCCACTCTCCACACTATCTCTCCACTCTCCCACACTATCTCTCCACTCTCCCACACTATCTCTCCACTATCCCACACTATCTCCCACACTATCTCCCCACACTATCTCTCCCACACTATCTCTCCACTATCCCACACTATCTCTCCACTGTCCCACACTATCTCTCCACTCTCCCACACTATCTCCCCACACTATCTCTCCACTATCTCTCCACTCTCCCACACTATCTTTCCACTCTCACACACTATCTCCCCACTCTCCCACACTCTCCCACACTATCTCTCCACTCTCCCACACTATCTCTCCACTCTCCCACACTATCTCTCCACAATCTCTCCACTATCCCACACTATCTCCACTATCCCACACTATCCTACACTATCCCACACTATCTCTCCACTATCTCCCGCACTATCTCTTTATTCTCCCACACTATCTCTCCACTCTCCCACACTATCCCACACTATCTCTCCACTATCTCTCCACTATCTCCCACACTATCTCCCCACTCTTCCACACTATCTCCCACACTATCTCTCCACACTATCTCCCACACTATTTCTCTAGTAACTCCCACACTATCTTTCCACTCTTCCACACTATCTCCCACACTATCTCTCCACTCTCACACTCTATCTCCCACACTATCTTTCCACTCTCCCACACTATCTTCCCACTCTCCCACACTATCTCTCCACTATCCCACACTATCTCTCCACTATCCCACACTATCTCTCCACTCTCCCACACTATCTCCCCACACTTAACAAGAACTCTTCTTGCTAAGTTTGTACTTCCAAGACTATAGTGGCTGCTATACCTCCTGCCAGTCAAACCGCCATAGCGTCGTCAAATCTTCATGGAATTTCATGCTTCAACTTGCTGCTGATAGACGACAGCAACGTGCTCCAGATCCAACTTACAGATTACAGTTTGACTCAGCCAGCAGATCGTTATCAATATTTGAATCCGTCTGACGGAAATCCGACTGTGCTCTCTATCTCTCATTATAGGCACATCTGAGCCTATTGTGACTATAACAAGTGGTATCAGAGCCCCTTGGAGCCGTCTCGACCATGCCTAGGCCTGAGGAAGGGGGTGGCAGAGGTGCTGGAGGCAGAGAAGACGCCCAAGCACAAGGTCAACACCAAGATCCACCCGTTGCTCCGGTGCAACCTAGCCTTGGACCCCCTAGGGATGAGCCTAGAGTGTTTGGCCTTGACAAGTTCAACGGTGACAACTTTGCTGAGTGGTCCTTCAAGATGGAGAACATCTTTGACCACTATGATCTGCTGGAGGTGATGGAAGGAACGGAGAAGCGCCCCGAGAACGACCTGGAGAAGAGCCCGTGGGTGCGGAAGAGCGCACAAGGCTACCTTCTACTTGGACAAGCGTTGGGGAGCAGCCAAATCCGTCACATCAAGCCTTTTCAGCGTGAACCAGCAAAGGGACCAAAGGCATGGGCTGCTCTCAAGGGTATATACGCTCCTGCAGCAGCGGCGGTGGCTGTGGTTTTGGAGCGGCAAATGGCGGCACTTAGAATTGACGAAGGCGAACCGGTGGAGGAAGGAGTGCAGAAATTCTTCGACTTGTTGACACGGCTCGAAGGAGCTGACCTGAACTACAGTGACCTTCAAAAGAAGACCAAGCTGCTGGCCTTACTTTCGAACTCATGGTCCTCGCTCATCATCAACCTTAATCGAGATCTGCCCCGTCTCTCACTCGAAGATGTGAAGCGGGAAATCTTACAAGAAGATTTCCGCCGTCGCGAATTGGCGGGTCCCGATGGTGCCGGAGTTGCAAGCATGGGCCGTGGGCACGGCCGTGGAAGGGGCAGAGGGCGAGGAGGAAGATTTGGCAGCAGTAACTTCAATGGAGGCCGTGGTAATGGAGGATATGGCAGCAACAACAACAACAATGGCTACGGGCGTGGGCGCGGTCGATTTGATGGCGAATGCCACTTTTGCCACAAGACCGGCCACATGTGGAGAGATTGCTTCAGATTGCCTGATGGATGGACCCCTTCTCAAGGCCAAAAGGGCAGAGGAGCAAGGGGAGGAAGAGGCAGAGGTCGTGGAGGCCGTGGTGGTCGTGGAAGCGAAGCGGCAAGCATGAAAGGTGGAGACTACGACAAGGACTCGAGTGAAGATCGATACCCGGGCCAATTCTTCTTTGTCTCCACGCAAGCGGCAGCTGCAGCAGGAGGTGTTGAAGGCTTTGAGGAGCCAGCTACTGTAGGAAAGGTCACCCTTCACTCTCTGGACTTTTGGGTGATCGATAGCGGCGCCACCTATAGCATGACACCTCGTGCGGACTTGCTCACCGAACTCGAACCGTCGCCGGTCAAGCATGTTACATCGGCTTTGGGGCAGCGAGCAGAGGTGAAGGGCATGGGCAAGGCCATGTTCAAGGGTGCTGATGGGAAGATGGTGGGCCTCAAGAACGTGCTTCTGGTGCCCAACCTAGCAGCCAACCTGATTTCCGTTCGGCATTTGCAAAAGGCCGGCATGGACACATCTTCCAAGGGATCCAAAACCTATACCGCAAGGCTTGGTGAGCGGAAGCTTTGGGACCTTCATGAGGACAGGGACATCTACAATGAGATGTGGCAAATCTCAGTGGTCCCCATGCCTAAAGAGAGGCAAGTGGCAGCAAGCGTCAGCACCAAGCATGAAGCGGTTGGTGGCGGTGATCACGGAAAGCAAAGTGACACCAAGAGTGACTCGAAGGAGTGCAACCTTGGAGAGACCAGCAAGGCGTGTGAACCCAAGGAGAATGGTGCAGCAGCCAAAGATGGTGGAAATGAGGACGAGAAGGCTAAGATCAACAAAGCAGCAGCGGCAAAGGAGAAAGGAGAGAGCTTGTGGGGCACAATTGCGAGTGCCGCTTTCTCCAACCCGACTTCCGCTACGGGAGAGTGTGATTGGCTGACCTTGCATCGGCGAATGGGGCATGTGGCATTGCCCATTTTGCAGCAGATTGTTAAGCAAGAGATGGTCAGTGGGATACGTGTCAAGGGGGAGCCCAATGAGGTGCTTGGCTGTCCAACATGCATGCAAGCCAAGTTCACCCGCTACCCGTTCCATAGCTCGGAGACAACGGCGAAGGCACCACTTGATGAGGTGGTGATGGATGTGGTGGGCCCCTTGAAGCTTGGAGCTGCTGGAGCAGAGTACTTCCTCACCATTGTGGACGTCTACACTCGCATGACTTGGGTGTATGTACTGCCCAAGAAGAGTGACGTAGCTGGAACGGTGAAGACCGATTGGTTGCCGATGGTGGAGCGGCAACAAGACCGACTTGTGAAGGCGATTCGCACTGACCGTGGGGGAGAGTTCCTGAGCAAGGATTTCTCAACTTGGCTGAAGAATCAGGGCATAAGACACTCTCTTACCATGCCCTACTCTCCTGCAATGAACGGCATCGCCGAGCGTGCGAATCGGACACTCACGGAGACGGCTCGGGGACTTCTCATTGAAGCCGGTCTACCCAATTACTTTTGGCCGGATGCGGTGCGGCATGCTTGTGTGGCCAAGAACAGAGCCTTGACTCATGTGGGAGAAGACAAATGGGTGCCCTATGTGGAGTGGATTGGAAGGAAGCCGAAGGTGGATATGCTTCGGGTGTTCGGGTGCATGTGCATGGCACTTGTGCCTAAGAAACTTCGGCACAACAAGCTTGATGCCAAGGCAACATGGGCCGTGCACCTGGGCATGGCCCAAAACAGCAAGGGATGGCTTCTATGGGACCCATTTACCAAGAAGTTCCTGGTGAGCAGAGATTGCAAGTTCATGGAGAACTTACCGTACAAGGAGTGGAAGGCGGAGAACCAAGTGAAGATTGGTGTGCGGCTTGGAGAGGTGAAGAGTACCGGCTTGGAGCATGTGGAGCTGCCCTTGGAGCTGAGTAGCAGCAGCACAATCACGAGGCAATCTCCCCAAATGAATGAGGATGAGGAGGAGGAGGAGGTGCAGCAAGGTAATGAGCGTGCACCGCCACTTCCGCCTCGTGCTACAAGTGCTCGCGGGAACCGACCGGACTTACCGCAAAGCCATGAGAGCATTCAAGTCCCTGCAGCAGAGGAGGAAGGAAGGGGGAGAAGGAGGACTCAGCCCCCCAATAGCTTGAGCTATGAACGGCTTGGAGGACCAGCCAACTCAACCTTGACCGGTTCGGCTCTCATGCTAGGTGATGATGCGGAAGATGAAAGCGAGGAGTGCGCCTTTGCCTTCTTCTCTCCGGTAGAGATACCGGGGGAGCCTACAAATCCCAAGGAGGGTCCCAATGGGAAGGAGTGGAAGAAGGCCTCAGATGAAGAAATGGGGAGCATCATCGAGAACGACACGTTTGATTTGGTGAAACTACCTCCGGGGCGTCAGGCGATTTCTTCCAAGTGGCTCTTCAAGCGCAAGACCGACGCCGACGGCAACATTGAGCGCTACAAGAGCAGACTTGTAGCCAAGGGGTACCAGCAGCAGGAGAAGAAGGACTACAATGAAGTGTATGCTCCTGTGGTGAAGGGTACAACCCTTCGAGCTCTCTTCGCCGCGGCGGCCATGAAAGGATGGGTGGTGAAGCAAATGGACATTGTAACGGCCTTTCTCAACGGCGTTTTCGAGGAAGAGACCTACATGGAGCAGCCAGAGGGGTACAATGATGGGAGTGGCAGAGTGTGGAAGCTGAAGAAAGCACTCTATGGCCTCAAGCAAGCCCCTAGGCAATGGTACATCAAGCTGCGGGAAGTCTTGGAGGCGATCGGCTTCACTCCCTCAACGGCCGATCAATCCTTGTTCATGCTTGGCGAGGGGGAGCAGAGGAGCTTCATGGTGGTTTATGTGGATGACACCCTCATATTCTCACCCTCCTCTGACCTTGTGAAGGAGGTGATGCTGAAGCTTCAAGACAAGTTCAAGTGCAAGACCCTTGGTGACGTCAACTACTACCTTGGGCTTCACATTGAGCGAGATGTGGAGAAGCGGTGGATGCGAGTGCATCAAAAGAAGTACTTGGAGGCCTTGGCTGCAAACTTTGGGAAGAGTGAAGGTCATGTGGCTACTCCTCTTCCCTCAGGGTTCAAGTGTGTGAAAGGACCAGCGGAGGAAAGTGTTGGTGAAGAGGAGAGGCGGCGTTTTCACTCCTTGGTGGGCAGCCTCATGTATGCGGCCGTTCACACAAGGCCGGATGCAGCCTTTGCTACTGGGCAGCTGGCTAGGGTTGTCCAATGCCCTAATGAGGAGCAGGTAGAAGCTGGAGAGAGGGTGGCCAAGTACCTTGGCCAAACAGCAACTGTTGGACTGCAATACTCCGCGGCGGCACAAAGGCGTCAAAAGGGTGCGGATGGAGTCGAACCCGGGAGGCTCTTTCTCACCGCCTTTTCTGATGCATCTTGGGCATCAGAACCAGAGGACATGACAAGTGTAGGAGGCTTCATCTGCTGTGTTGGTGGAGGGCCAACAGCTTGGGAGAGCAAGAAACAAGTGGACCAAGCATTGAGCTCGGTGGAGTCCGAGTACATGGCACTCTTCCGTGCCATAAGAGAGGTTGTGTGGCAGCGGCGTTTGCTAGCTGAATTGGGGGAGGAGCAGCAAGGACCTACCCCACTCTACTGTGATAGCCAGGGTGCTATTGCATTGGCTAAGAACCCCGTTCTTCATGGCCTTACCAAGCACATGAAGGTGAAGTGGCATTGGGTGAGGAGCATGGTAACCGCGGGTGAAGTGGAGTTGCACTACGTGAAGACGACGGCGCAGCCTGCTGATATGATGACCAAGAGGCTGGTTGAGCAGCAGCATTGGAAGTGTTGCAAGCTTGCTGGGATGGCTCTGAACTAAGGGGAGCAGATTCTAAGGCCAACAATCCGAGGGGGAGTTTGTTGGTGCAACCCTATGGCTTGCACTCGGCTTGTCGTCCTTGTTTGTGTGTGTGCATGCATGGCATGGAATGAATTGTGAGTCTATGTCGTTGCTATCCAGTGCTTGTGTGTGTGTTTGAATGGTGTATCACAATGTGGTTTGTGTCGGTCAAGACATTAGCGAGTTTTTACAACTCGCATGTCAAGTCGTCGTTTGTGTGTCGCATGTGTTTTTTCTATTTTGTCGAGTGTGAAGTGTCCATCGTGTCGCAGGTGTGTGCAGCAAGCCCCCATCAACTCAAGAAGAATTTATCTTGCAGATCCAAGAACAAGAGCTCAAGATTTCAAGCCCAAGGGACGCAGATAAATATTAAATAGTGAAAATAGTAACGTTACTTCGTGTAGTGTTACATTTCACTTGGTGTCTCCCCTTGGAGGGTTGGTTTCGAGACTCTTCATGGTTGGGGACTCTGTGGTGGTGTACCACCAACCTGGACCTCGGCTCTTGGGGTATGTAGAGGCTGGGAACTATCTCCCTCTCGAACTCTTCTTGCTAAGTTTGTACTTCCAAGACTATAGTGGCTGCTATACCTCCTGCCAGTCAAACCGCCATAGCGTCGTCAAATCTTCATGGAATTTCATGCTTCAACTTGCTGCTGATAGATAACAGCAACGCGCTCCAGATCCAACTTACAGATCACAGTTTGACTCAGCCAGCAGATCGTTATCAATATTTGAAGCCGTCTGACGGAAATCCGACAGTGCTCTCTATCTCTCATTATAGGCACATCTGAGCCTATTGTGACTATAACAGAGAGATAGTGTGGGAGAGTGGAGAGATAGTGTGAGAGAGATAGTGGAGAAAAGTGTGGGAGAGTGGAGAGAGTGGAGAGATAGTGTGGGAGAGATAGTGTGGGAGAGAGAGGAGAGATAGTGGAGAGATAGTGTGGGACAGTGGAGAGATAGTGTGGGTGTGTGGAGAGATAGTGTGGGAGAGTGGAGAGAAGGTGTGGGAGAGTGGAGAGATAGTGTGGGATAGTGGAGAGATAGTGTCGAAGAGTGGAGAGATAGTGTGGGAGAGTGGAGAGATAGTGGAGAGATAGTGTGGAGAGATAGTGTGGAAGAGTGGGGAGATAGTGTGGGAGAGTGGAGAGATAGTGGAGAGATAGTGCGGGAGAGTGGAGAGATAGTGGAGAGAATGTGTGGGAGAGATAGTGGAGAGATAGTGGAGAGATAGTGGAGAGTGTGGAGAGATAGTGTCGGATAGTGTGGGAGAGTGGAGAGATAGTGTGGGGGAGTGGAGAGATAGTGGAGAGATAGTGTGGGAGAGTGGAGAGATAGTGAAGAGATTGTGTGGGAGATAGTGTAGGAGAGTGGAGAGATAGTGGAGAGATAGTGTGGGAGAGTGGAGAGATAGTGGAGAGTGGAGAGACATTGGAGAGATGGAGGAGAGATAGTGTGGGTGAGTGGAGAGATAGTGTGGGACAGAGTGAAGAGATAGTGGAGAGATGGTGTGGGAGAGATAGTGGAGAGATAGTGTGGGAGAGTGGAGAGATAGTGTTGGAGAGTGGAGATATAGTGGAGATAGTGTGAGATAGTGGAGAGATAGTGGAGAGATAGTGGAGAGATAGTGTGAGAGATAGTGGAGAGATATTGGAGAGATAGTGTGGGAGATAGTGGAGAGATAGTGTGGGAGAGAAAGTGTGGGAGAGTGGAGAGATAGTGGAGAGATAGTGTGGGAGAGTGGAGAGATAGTGTGGGAGAGTGGAGAGATAGTGTGGGAGAGTGCAGAGATAGTGGAAAAATAGTGTGGGAGAGATAGTGTGGGATAGTGGAGAGATAGTGTGGGATAGTGTGGGAGTGTGGAGAGATAGTGTGGGATAGTGGAGAGATAGTGTGGGATAGTGTGGGAGAGTGGAGAGATAGTGAAGAGATAGTGGAGAGATAGTGTGGGAGAGATAGTGGAGAGATAATGTGGGAGAGTGGAGAGAGAGTGTGGGAAAGAGAGTGTGGGAGAGTGGAGAGATGGTAGAGAGATAGTGGAGAGATAGTGTGGGAGAGTGGAGAGATAGTGTGGGATAGTGGAGAGATTGAGTGGGAGTGTGGAGAGATAGTGTGGGAGAGTGGAGAGATAGTGGATAGTGTGGGATAGTGGAGAGATTGTGTGTGAGAGTGGAGAGATAGAGTGGGACAGTGGAGAGATAGTGTGGGAGAGTGCAGAGATGGTGTGGGAGTGTGGAGAGATAGTGTCGGATGGTGTGGGAGAGTGGAGAGATAGTGTGGGGGAGTGGAGAGATAGTGGAGAGATAGTGTGGGAGAGTGGAGAGATAGTGGAGAGATTGTGTGGGAGATAGTGTAGGAGAGTGGAGAGATAGTGGAGAGATAGTGTGGGAGAGTGGAGAGATAGCGGAGAGTGGAGAGACATTGGAGAGATAGAGGAGAGATAGTGTGGGTGAGTGGAGAGATAGTGTGGGACAGAGTGAAGAGATAGTGGAGAGATGGTGTGGGAGAGATAGTGGAGAGATAGTGTGGGAGAGTGGAGAGATAGTGTGGGAGAGTGGAGAGATAGTGTGGGAGAGTGCAGAGATAGTGGAAAAATAGTATGGGAGAGATAGTGTGGGATAGTGGAGAGATAGTGTGGGATAGTGTGGGAGTGTGGAGAGATAGTGTGGGAGAGATAGGTGAGAGATAGTGTGGGAGAGTGGAGAGATAGTGAAGAGATAGTGGAGAGATAGTGTGGGAGAGATAGTGGAGAGATAATGTGGGAGAGTGGAGAGAGAGTGTGGGAAAGAGAGTGTGGGAGAGTGGAGAGATGGTAGAGAGATAGTGGAGAGATATTGTGGGAGAGTGGAGAGATAGTGTGGGATAGTGGAGAGATTGAGTGGGAGTGTGGAGAGATAGTGTGGGAGAGTGGAGAGATAGTGTGTGAGAGTGGAGAGATAGAGTGGGACAGTGAAGAGATAGTGTGGGAGAGTGCAGAGATGGTGTGGGAGAGTGGAGAGATAGTGTGGAAGAGTGAAGAGATAGTGGAGAGACAGTGTGGGAGAGATAGTGTGGAGAGATAGTGGAGAGATAGTGTGTGAGAGATAGTGGAGAGATAGTGTGGGAGAGATAGTGTGGGAGAGATAGTGTGGGAGAGTGGAGAGATAGTGGAGAGATGGTGTGGGAGAGTGGAGAGATAGTGGAGAGATAGTGCGGGAGAGTGGAGAGATGGTGTGGGAGAGAGATATTGGAGAGATAGTGTGGGAGAGTGGAGACAGAGATAGTGTGTGAGAGTGGAGAGATATTGTAGGAGAGTGGAGAGATAGTGTGGGAGAGTGGAGAGATAGTGTGGGAGAGTGGAGAGAAAGTGTGGGAGAGTGGAGAGATAGTGTGGGTGAGAGTGGAGGAAAGTGTGTGAGAGTGGAGAGATAGTGTGGGAGAGTGGAGAGATAGTGTGGGAGAGTGGAGAGATAGTGTGTGAGAGTGGAGAGATAGTGTGGGGAGATAGTGTGGGAGAGTGGAGAGATAGTGCGGGAGAGTGGAGAGAGAGTGTGGGACAGTGGAAAGATAGTGGAGAGATAGTGTGGGATAGTTGAGAGATAGTGTGGGGGAGTGGAGAGATAGTGTTGGAGAGTGGAGAGATAGTGGAGATATAGTGGAGAGATAGTGTGGAAGAGTGGAAAGATTGTGTGTGAGATAGTGTGGGAGAGTCGAGAGATAGTGTGGGAGAGTGGAGAGATAGTGTGGGAGAGTGGAGAGAGTGTGGGACAGTGGAGGGATAGTGTGGGACAGTGGAGAGATAGTGGAGAGATGGTGTGGGAGAGCGGAGAGATAGTGGAGAGAGTGGAGAGATAGTGGAGAGATAGTGGAGAGAGAGTGGAGAGATAGTGGAGAGATAGTGTGGGAGAGATAGTGTGGGAGAGATAGTGTGTGAGAGTCGAGAGATAGTGGAGAGGTAGTGTGGGATAGTGTGGGATAGTGGAGAGATAGTGGAGAGATAGTGGAGAGAGTGGAGAGATAGTGTGGGTGAGTGGAGAGATAGTGTGGGTGAGTGGAGAGATAGTATGGGAGAGTGGAGAGATAGTGGAGAGATAGTGTGGGAGAGTGGAGAGATAGTGGAGAGATAGTGTGGGAGAGTGGAGAGATAGTGTGTGAGAGTGGGGAGATGGTGTGGGAGAGTGGAGATAGTGTGGGAGATCCTGTGGGAGAGTGGAGAGATAGTGTGGGAGAGTGGAGAGATAGTGGAGAGATAGTGTGGGAGAGTGGAGTGGATAGTGTGGGAGAGTGCAGAGATAGTGTGGGAGAGTGGAGAGATGGTGTGGGAGAGTGGAGAGATAGTGAAAGAGAGTGGAGAGATAGTGTGGGAGTGTGGAGAGATGGTGTGGAAGAGTGGAGAGATAGTGTGGGAGAGTGGAGAGATGGTGTGGGAGAGTGGAGAGATAGTGTGGGAGAGTGTGGGAGATAGTGGTGAGATAGTGTGGGAGAGATAGTGGAGAGATAGTGTGGGAGAGTGGAGAGATAGTGTGGGAGAGTGGAGAGATAGTTGAGAGATAGTGTGTGAGAGTGGAGGGAGAGTGGGGAGAGTGGAGAGATAGTGTGGGAGAGATAGTGTGGGAGAGTGGAGAGATAGTGGAGAGATAGTGTGGGAGAGTGGA